TCTACTTCAGAGATTGAGACAGCATGGATTCCATTTATACTAAGGCCAAGGGAAGGGAACCAATCTAGGCCCAGCAGACTGGGGAGGGCACCATTAACTACCACCAAAGGCAAATGGCCTTTAAAACTTTGGAACTGAACTAAAAACTTGCCTTTCCCGAGGACAGGGATGTTCTTGCCCTGGTAGTCCCGTAGGGTCAGGTGGCATTTCTGGAGCTTCTTTTCGGAAATTCTGGGGTGAATCTTCTTCAGGGTCTCCCAGGAGATGATTGAGAGTGCTGATCCCGTGTCCACCTCCATTCTGCAAGGCTTACCTTCTAAAAAAACAAAAATACTTATTTTGTTAGAGGTTTTAGAAGTGTGGTCTGCGTGGTAGCAAGTATAGCAATCTTCCACTTGCCTTTGAAAATTAGCTTTAGGCTGAGGTCTCTGAGGGAAGGTTCTCCCTGCTTGGCAGACTCTAGCTAGGTGGCCTTTCCTTTGACAGTTTAGACAAGTAACATTCCTGAACCTGCAGGATGCCCTAAGGTGGGAACCCCCACAGCTCAGACAAATGGGAGGTTGCTTGGGGGTGAAGTTGTTCCTTTGTCCTGCTCCTTCTTGTGGGGGCTGCCTAAGGCCCTGTTGTGCCTACAGGGTCTTCCTCTAGGGAAACTTCCTCAGAGTGGATAGTGGAGCTGCCTTGCCTGATAGGAGTTCCTTGAATCTCAGCTGCTGATTGAGCAGAGAGCTCAGCAGCTTGGGCTTCTTCTATTGCTATGGCCAAGGTTAAGTCTTTTTTGGCTAGTAAGCGTCTTTGAAGCCTAAGGTCCCTGACCCCACAGACAATCTGATCCAAAAGCATGTCTTCTAGGTAGTCTCTGAACCCACACTGTAAGGCAGCTGATCTCAGGGCTGCCATGTACTCGCTAATTGACTCCCCTTCAGCCTGTCTTCTGATTCTGAAGGCATGTCTTCTAGCTATCTGGGAAGGTTTAGGGGAGTAGTGGTTGGAAAGAATCTCTTGGAGTTCTTCCCAGGGAATGGTTCTGACAGAGCGAGGGGCAACCAGTGCTGTAGCAGTGTCAAAAACCGCAGCTCCACAGTAACTGAGAAAGAAAGATTTTTTTCTATGCTCTGCAGCGTCTGCGAGGTCAATAGCATCCAGGAAATAGATGAAGCGGTTCTTGTACGATTCCCACATTTCTTTGGCTGGCTTGAAGGGTGGGAATGCCGGGCTGGTGTTCATCTTGAGGCGGCAGTGTCTGTCACCTCAGCTGCTGCAGGCTTCAAAAATTGCGCTCTTAGAAGAGCGTTTTGCGGCTGCGCCTGTCAGGCGGCGTCTGTCTCCTCAGCTGAGGAGGCTTTAAATTTCGCGCTCGCGGTGAGTGTTGGCGGCTGTGACTTTCAGCGCTCGGTGGCTTCGCTCTTTTTAAGTGACTAGCTCAGCGATCGGACGTCTGGTAGCCTCTTATTGTATCCCACCCTCATCGCCAGTGTTGTAGAGCGGCGGAGATACGAGGCTGACCCAGAGCGTTCGTTAAAAAGGGGCTTTATTCGGTGAATAAAGGGTTGCCACGACTGCCAGGCTAACAAGGCAGATCAGCTGGTGGCAACAGCTGATGCCGTTTGATAGCTCCTTTTATAGCTGGCTGTCAAACGGCATCAGCCAATGGGAGCGGTCGGCACTCCCGCTCGTACTGCGGACCTGGTTGGGGACTCCAGTCAGTTCTATGGACACAACAAATACCAATAGTAATAGATACCTTGGGTGCAAACTCAGAATATTTGGAGCACCACCAGAATACCATTTGCACTGGCAAAATCACCATCAGTCAGTTGCAAAAGGCAGCTTTACTTGTAGCAGCTTACATCCTGCAATCATACCTTTAACATCATCAAACAGCTTCTGCCTATCCCAGATGTCATTGGGTAGGAACTCAATAAATTGACAAAAATGCCAAACTTTTAAGTTATTTGTGGGTCTACCTCTCCTGGATTTTGTCTAATTGTGCCATCAGATTATACCCTAATCCCCATTCAGTAGAAGACACATGTTCTGCATGCCATCACTTAGACTCATGTCACCCAGAGACACTCATTTTTGCCATGCACTTGCCCTTTGGAACAGCATGCCCTGAAGATTAGATTGCCCTTGGTGTCTTTTTATAAGATCTAATAACTTACAGAGTCCATGCTTACGTTAATTGCTATTGGTTTTTGTACCTTCGCTACTAATTGTGTTTATAAGGTTTTAATATGAGGGGGGTGGTTTTACTTGTTTCTATATAAATGTTCATTATTGTTAGCTGTCCACTATCATGAACTTGAGATGGGCAGGCAGATAAATAAATGAACAAATGAATTTCATCAGAAAAAGTCTTTGTGGAGGAGCTTGGATGCCATATTCCTCAAATTGTACTAGTAATACCTAATGTCATCCCATTTGAGAGAGCTTTGTTTTGGTCTCCCAACATTCAGTAAGAGGTAGAGGGAAATCACTGGGAGGAGGCACTTGAGTTATGATTCTTCAATTATCTTTTAATGTAATCTATATTATACAGCATGCTATTCTATCCACTTTAGCATTTTAAAGTAATTTCTATCTTGTTCAATCTCTGTTAGTTGCTCTGGGAGATTATTATATGACACACTGTAATAAACTTTCTAAATGAACATATGGCTGAGTTAAAATATCTATTCAAGATACTTGACTGATAGAAGCTGGAACACTTAACTCATATATAGCTTTTGTTCGACTTAGTATAAAGATTATAAATGTTGGATGAAGTAGATGTAAAAATGACAATATGATAGTTAACATGGTTCCAATTCATTTTTTCAACACCAAGAAAATTGTTCTGTTGATGTGATAGTATTAAGTCAAATTAAATAGTGCAATGATGAGAAAGAGGTTCCTGCTGCTGCCTTTCAAAAGGAAACTGATGATATTGAACTGTAAAAATCTTCATGTGTTCCCTTAGATAGATGTACAATGGCATTTCTTACTAGGTCATTAAGTGTCTTATAGATGAGTAGAATACTTTATGAAAGGAACAGATAATATATTTCCAAATGCCTCGTGGAGTAGCCCAGAGAAAAAGAAATATTTCACACCATCAGTAAATTGGAATAATAAAAGTGGACGTTTTAGCTAAAATATACTATATCCAAAAAAGAAGAAATAACTTAGTACAAAAATGTACCTGCTGCATAGATTGTACTTTGAAGTATAAAGATGTATTAGAAATGTATGCTCATAGGGAGAAAAGGCAAAAAGTATGTTGTATTTTAACAGGACAGCTGTTTGGATATTTACTTGGAAGTAATCCTTACTGAATTCAGTAGGATCTCTTTTTAAATATATATGTCTAAGAATTTGATCATATCAAATACTAGATGTTTTCGGCAAAATAGCTTTTCTTTTTAAAAAAATCCTTTCTATTTCAATGGAGAAGAATATTGGTCAGTTACAACAAGATTAACATATTAATCTATTGTGCATAATATTTGAAAGGGCAATAACCTAGTCAACAAAGCACAATGCTGCAAAAGGCATAATGCTTTAAGAATTCAAAGAGAGAGGCTTCATTTATGCCCCCTTGCTCCATATATCTTTCAGATGTTAGTCACAGCCTTACTATTTATATATTTTAATTGAATAAGTTTTGCACTTTGAAGTAGAATAATAATAAATTATTGGCAATTCCTGATGCATAAACCATCACTGATTTGAATGGTTCATGCTCATATATAAAATCATAATGTGATTTGATTTCGGATTAGTACTGCATGATGAGTGAATCTACCCCTTATTGTTGGAAACATAAAAAAACAAAAAATCTATTCTTCACTATTGGAGCCTCACTATTTAATAGCACTTGATTGACTTTGTGTGGACTTGAAAGTTAAAGAGAGATTAGCAGGAAGTTCCAGGTCTATAGACAAGGGCAACCTGATTAGAGCTGCAAAAATCCAATTGATAGCTGTCCTGTAACAAGATTGGAAGATTTAAAAAGTATCCCAGAAGGCAATGTACTGTTGCTAAGAAAATTTCACGCAGACTGAGACACCAAAAGTTGAGTCTGATATAGATTTTTTTTGTTTGATATGTCAAAACAGCCTATTTCATTTCTCCAGCCTTAACATAAAAACATCTCCAATATTGGTCTTTTTATTATTATTGTTTATATATATATACCCCTGAATCATAGCTAACAGCATTGCCCAACTTCTCTTTGATTATCCATCCTTGTCAGAAATTGGTCAAATTATCTAAATCCTTCTTCTAAATCCCGCTTCTGCCCACTCATGCTTTAAATAATGTTACTTTAATTGATGGGAATAAACACTGTTCCGCTATATTATATGAACAAAGATTAAATATGCTTTCTCACAATTAGCTGGCTTGTGAGAGTTACACTTCTTTGTACCAATATGTGAAACATTATCCTGAAACTGCATATACTATAGGAATGTGAAAAAGTTAGATCAGATAAGTATTTCTTGGTATTGGGAACACTAGAAATTAATAACAAAATAGATGGAATATTGCTACAAGAAAATGTATTGAAGTGATGGGAGGATGCCTTCTTTTTTTGTTTCCAACATTAACAACTTAACCAAAGAACACAGTAACAATAGCATCTCTACTAATAAGGATAGACATAACCACTATTTCATCACTGTATCTTGCTATTTTATTAAAAGAAGAGAAAAGACATTATAGAGAGCTCTTATACTAGATCACTACAGTGAATGAAGTTTTCCACACAGTTTTTCTATGTATGATTTTATGATATGGTAGAAAATCTCTCAGGGAATCAAGACAAACAATCATTCAAAGTCACATTCAGTCCTACATGTTGCCAACTTTATAGATACATGTCCCTGAGTTTGAGAGCATTGTACACTTCCCTGGCAACTCCAAACTTTTTGATCAAATAAACAAATAAAAAATGTTTTTATTGGATAGTCCTGATATAACTTAACAAATATTAACAGATGTTTTTTTATATGCAGAGAATGGCTCCAAGTTTTCCCACTACTGTAAGTTATGCCGATCCTACTTTAGAGTCTATGGAATATTCAGTGATACGCCAGAAAATAGTCGATTCACAGTTCAAGTGCTATGAAAGGATGAACAGAGCCCCTCCTTACAAGAAAAAAGGTAAAGGAACAAATGAGAAAAAGAAAAAAAAACACTGAAATTATTATTTAAAGCAGTGTTGGATTTTGGATTGCTGAAAAGAAAAAGGGAATGAGGGAAAATCAACTGAAAATCTCACAAAATTTTATAAATAGTGAAAGTGCCAAGGGCAACCTTAGACTACGAATAACATTTCTTTAAGCACAAAGGTTATTCATTTTGAAGGTGTAATGAATTAATTCTGCAGGGCAACATTTCTTTACAACTAATTTTGTGTTCGGATTTCTAGACCTTGACCCCCCCCACTGGTCTTCCCCCCCATGGTGGAATCATTTATGGCCATTTTTCTGGCCATTTTTCACACTTATGACCATTGCAGTGCATGATGGTTGCAGAATCCCAGGGTCATGTGATTACTTTTTGTGAACCTCTGACAGACAAAGTCAATGGGGAAGCCAGAGTCACTTGACAATCATGTTACTAACTTAACAATGACAGTGATTCACTTAACTGTAACAAGAAAGGTCATAAAATGGGTAAAACTCACTTAACAACTGTCTTGCTTAACAACAGATTTTTGGGCACAATTGTGCTTGTAAATTAAGGACCACCTGTACTATTTTTATACCCATCAATTGAATGTGGATAAAAGAGTATTAAGTCTTTAATTGAAAGCTTCTTCCTGTTAATTTTTGTCCTGTTATTGTTTCTCTAATTATCCCTTAATTATCTCTCTGGCTATGGCATACCAAGCATGCAACTACCCAATTATATTTTAGACTAGTATGTACAGACACAATCCTATTATTTTAATGAATACAGAAAATGATTTCTACCTAAAACTATACTTAACTACAGATCAATATATCATATGAATAAAATTTGTTTTATTTAATTGATGACTTCATTTCATTATTTACACATAAATATATTCTTGCTCTGTTCTATTAAAGAAAAAAAGGAATTAAAGAATAGATTCTGGTAATTAAGATTCCTACCCTCTGTAGGGAATCAAAACCAATTAAGAAAAGAATATTACATTTGTACTTGAATCCAGGGAGATCCTTTGTACCCTTATCTCTGGAGTAGAATGAAACAGCTCATCTGGTTGAATATTTAAGTGGCTAAGTGGTTTTAAAGTGCTAGCTTTTAACAAGAGAGATGCTACTTGGTGCCACATCATGCTGAATAAAGAGGCAGAACCATCAAAGAGATTAACAAGTTCTAGATATAAATAACTGTAAGAAAATATTTGACTCCAAGGAAAATCATTGGTTGAATATGTGGAGCTATTCTTTGTTTTGTTTTCACTTTTCAAAAAAGCCATCCTTGTGCTTCACTGAAATATTTTAGTGTTTGTCCTGATTATTCATTGATTCCTGAAAATCAATAAACACTAAACAGGGTAAGGAAAACAAAGACATCCATACAGCTTGTATACAGTTTTCATTTCCTGATCAAAACACTGTCCTCATAAAGTACTACCATACTTCTGTTGAGGAGAAACTTAGCAAGTTAAACCGTAAGTGTAATTTGCTTGCTTTGATATAAACGAAGGCAATATAGGAAGAAGCACTTTTAAAGAAAATATAGCTAAATCTGTGTTTCAGTAGAGCCTACTACAGGTAGTCCTGGACACACAATATGAGCCCAACATTTATGTTGCTTCGTGAGAAATTTGTTAAGTGGGTTTTGCCCCCTTTTACAACTTTTCTTCCCCATTTGTTAAGTGAATTACTGCAGTTGTTATATTAGTAACATGGTTGTTAAGTGAATCTGGCTTTCCCACTGATTTTTTTGGTCAGAAGGTCATAACAGATGATTACAAGAACCCGAGACATTGCAATCATCATAAATATAAACCAGCTGTTAAGCATCTGAAAGTAAATCACATGACCAAGGGGATCCTGGAGTGGTTATAAGTGTGAAAAATGTTCATAAGGCACTTTTTTCATTGGTGTTGTAACTTCAAACAGCCACTAAATGAATTGTTGTAAGTCAAAGATTACCTGTATTTCAAATTATTTATATACATATTTATATATACTTAAACATTTCCTTCCTGGGATAAGGAAATTATACAAAGGCAGAAAAGGAGTAAGAAATACTAAGCCAAACAAATTGGAATAGCTAAATATACCATTGATTAATTAAATTCACCAACCTCTCCATATTGTTATATCCTAGCAAAAGTTTTGCTTTTACCATCTCTGAGCATATATTTATACATATAAGTTTCTCCCATTTCTTTTTTAGGGTCTTATCAACTCCATCCAGCACTGATGGTTTCTTTAAATATATTAACTGCTAACTATGTGTTTTGTGATTCCGTCCTCCTTTATGTTCTGTATATATGACCAAATAACTTCTATATACTTGCTTCTTATGTTCCTCATTTACTTTTATATTCAATTAATAATTATTCCACATCTCATTAATTCTTAAACCTATTCTTCTTGTTTACCATGTTATTTTATTATATAGCTTATTTTTATAGCATTTAGATTTTACATTTCTTCTGACAACATTCAATTTGACTTCCAAATAGCAAAGTTGGTAGAATTATGTTGAAATGCACAGCCATTTTTCTTATTTTGACAAACATTATTTTTTTACAGTGAACCATATAAAGTCCACATCAGTCTGCCAACATCTGAATGTCTTAAAGGTTCTTTTCCCCCCCTCATCTTTGGTAATCATACTACCAAGAAATGCATATTTATTTTTACCATTTTATATAATTAATGCATATTGTGGTATGAAAACATAGAAGCAAGCAGACTAGGAAACTTGGGTTTGAGATATTAATTTCAATATCACCTTTAATGTTGAGCAGATCTAAAATACATAATACTGCTATTGCCATCAAAATCCTCGTAACATGGAGCTTACTTTTATATAATTTTTTTTAATGCTTTGGAATTTGGATTTTATTCTCCTAAAGCAGGCATATTAGCTATCTAATAATAGATATTAGAGAGTTATTCTTGATATAATGTTTTAAACAAGGTACTCTAACAAATATTTATAAAAGAGTTTGTCGGTTTTTCTTATTGGATAGAATATATCCATGAGAAGTCCACTGCATGTTAAACATTTTTTGTTCTCAGCCTTCTGCCATTTAACATGATTGCAAGCCATTCAAATCTTAAAATCATGGCATATAGGTCTTTTTAACTCTCAAAAACGCTATCTTCTTCAGTAGAAGGAACAGAGAATAAATAATACCATTGTTGAATGAAAAAAATATCATTGGTAAGGTTGCATAATACAGAACTGAAAAGTTATATGTGGCAAAAATGGGAAAAAAGATAGTTTTAATGAGGCAACAAATAATTGGGGGTAACAAATAAGCAGATTGAAAGTACATATTGTACAGAAATAAAATGAGTTTTTATTCTTTTTTTCAAAAATAAGCCCAATGTGTAGGTGGAGGAACCTGTTTTATTTCCCCTGGGTGAAAAACTTTCTGTATTGTATTGGAAAATACAAATGTTTTTCATTTCATAGAATGACAAATCTTTTCAAAATTAAAAATTAAGCCTTCTAAGTAGTTGACTGTGCTGTCTTTCAGAAATATAACTGGTTGCATTTTTGTTCTTTTCTAATCTTTTCCATGATAGGGTTCTTTTATCCAGTACAAAGTCTGGAAGAAAATGTGCTCTACCTAAAAGAGAAATAGGATTGATCTGATGGAGTTCTGAGGTCAATATTTATCAGACAAAAAAACATTTGAACTTTTGTGTTTCTAAGAAAAGAACATCCACCCAAACTGAAACACTTGGACCACCCATCATGAGGAAAAGGCCCCTAGGAGCTACTTTCAAGCTGCCCAACAAATCAGTTGTTTTTTCTTTTGGGCAGCAACTCCAAGGGTGGCCAAGCACTTTAGATATATTTAACAATTTTTACTATGTATCTTGGGTTCTAATATCAATTAGCCACAAAACTTTCAAAGATGACTTTCCCATTTCATTGATTTATTGCCAGGTTTAAGTAACATAATTAAACTGTCTGATCCAGATTTTGGTGGCCCTGACGCTCAAGAGTACCATCCTGCCTAAGTAATCCTGTCCCCTCGTTGTCACTGTTTCCATTTACTCAAATACCTTACTTTTTGCTATATTGCAAGCAACCAGTTCTGAATCTTTCTACTATTGCTGTTCTTAACAGATAATAATGACATGTTCATAGACAGAGAGAGATTCAGAAGTATTATAAACCTGCAAATTCTCCATAATAGGGGAAAAGAACCAGCTGTTCTCTAGTTCACATTACATCTGTTAGGAAAAAAAACTGATAAATGTTTTTTCAGCTACTGTAATTCAGCTGCTGAAAATCTTGTAACTCTATCTCTTTCTTTTCAATAAATTCTATTCAACAAAACTTTAAAATGGAACTTTTATTAAAGTCATCTGGCAGGAACTTTAGAGCATAGCAAGAAATTTATTTATTTGTATTCATCTAATATGTATGTCACCTATCTTGCTAAAGGCGAATCTATGTGCCTAAGAAATTGTTGTATAAATAAGTTGAAGAGGAACAAGCTCATGAAATTATTATCAGTGATCCCTATTATAGTATAAACTTAAGGGACCACTTAACTATGTCAATATTGGCTTAAATTCTGATAGATCTCATTTAATTTACTCTATTATCCTGGATTAATGGGATGTAGTGTGAAGCAATCTTTAATAATTAATAATAACAATATTATCCAATACAGGTGACAGAACCTAGTGAACTTAGCAGCTTTCAAAAACTAAGTCAAGTTGAACCAAATTAGAAATTGGACGGGAGATAATGCAATATCCTGGGATGGTAGGGCACTTTGCCAAACTGAAAAAAATATGTCAGAAGACAGTAGGAAACCACTTCTATATTGTTGCCAGGAAAATTACAGATGTAGTCACCAGGAGTCAAGTTCAACTCAAAGGAGTCTTTTGTCTTTTAATACAAAAGCAACAAAAACGTTAGGAGTTTTTGTGAGCATGGTAGATATTACTCTGATATTAGAAAAGAAGCCAGTGTATTTTCCCCAAAACTATCAAGCTATATTACTTTCAAATTTTTAGGATTGTACTGTAACCGGACCTGGGATGGATGGCTGTGTTGGGATGATACACCAGCTGGAGAAAATGCTGGCCAGAATTGTCCTGATTATTTTCAAGACTTTGATCCAACTGGTATAGTACCTTTGTTACTTTCAGCCACTTGATAGAATATGGAAATGAAAGGATAAATTTTTATCAACATTAAAAGTACAGTTGATTTGCATTTACATGTCCACAACTGGTTACTGTACATATGCTGGAGTGGTTATCTTTTGTGAATTTTTCTGATTTCTCCAAGCTTTTGATGCAAATTTTCTGATTTAAAAAATAGATGCATTAGCATGTGAGAAAATTACTTGCAAATACTCCTATATGGGACAAAAATGCACAGAACAGAATGTTTATAGATAAATTGTAATCCAATCTGCAAACAGAAAAATAACCTGTTTTTTTAATGTAAATATTACAATAGTGAACTCAAGTAGTCATTCCTGTTTAAAATGCAAACGTTACACTAGAAAGATCAAGAAGTCATTCTGTTTAAGATTAAAGTGAGCAGGTTAAATAGCTTCTATTTATAGCATTACTGCTATAAATTCACACCTGCATTGAATATTCAAAATGTTTTGCTTTAAATCCTCTTGCTCTTTGCCATATTGACTATGAAATCCAAAAAATGGCATTGTTTATTTTTCATGTCAGTCATTTTTATCATAATTCTATTGGTAGGGAATTAAATAGCAGTCATTCATGTGACATGAATCTCATTCCTAGGTTTTTTTTATATTTTATGATCAAAGGCTGCTCTATAAATGGAAACAACATAATTCTCAAACTTCATAATACGTTATAGATATATCATTAATGGAATTAATATTGTCAATGCCACAATATTATGATTGAAATTCTGCCTATTGTATATGTACTATCGAGCTTCAGTTGTACCATCCTGTATACCATCGTACCTTAAAAAACCATACCTTGCAAACACCCCTGACATTTTATGAAGTCACCAAGTGTGTAGTTCTTATTACTTTTCCTAAAATGTTCATAGCAATATATGTATATACTATATATATCTTCCCCAAATATTAATAAATTGCACCTTCAAATAAATTATTAAAGGGAGTCATTTTGCACAATCTACCATTCTGTAGTTCTTATGATTGAATAACTACAAATGTGTGTTTAATTCAACTGCTGATTTCTATTAAGCAAAATTGTATCCTGTTATATGAGTATAGATAGGTAATAAACAGCTGTCCGCACGGATATCATCTGAAATACCAGTTGAGAGATGGCTAGAAGGTGAGATAAAGTTAATCAAGTTCAAAAGAAAATAGGATTTCCACAGTTACAGAAGTGAGAGTTTTCTGCCAAGGTTTATTTTCAGAATTAATAATGTCTTGAATCTAAGATCCCAATAGAACCAATCCACATTTGCATTTTTTCCAATGATAGGTCTCTGTATTGTGCTAAACCATATTATGATTGGTTGACTTTTGGTTTAGAATATTGCATAAATGGGCATATTGATTTGTAAGTCATGTTTTCATTTCTTTATTTGTAGCTTGTTCACTAAACTATACTATTAAAAATATATTGTGCTCAGGAGAAGGAGTATGTGACTAACTGAAGAATCTATATTTCCATAGTTTGTTTTTTGCACATTTAGTTTTTTGCACACTTCTGATTTCTCGCTTGTTTTTGTAATAGTACTTTATGCAATGGAACAGCCTGTTCTAAGGACACTTAAAATAAGCAAATGAATGCTGGCAATCTTAAGCCACTGATTGCTAACTTCAATTGAATAGAATAGGGAAGTCTAGCAGGATTAGCTCCAGCTTCCCATACCAGAGCTAGGCCATCTGTTTATTTTGTTCCAAATACATGCTGAAAGGACTGGTAGCTAATAATCACTTCCTGCCACTTGAGAAAACCCATATGGCTTGCATGCCTACCATTCTGGCCTTGTTGAGACTAATCATCACTAAGCTGTGTTACGACTGTTTTAAAAATGACTTAGCTAATATTTCTGCTGTTGATATTAGCATAAAAATGCCATAAATAATTCAGATAAATTGGCAAGCAGAAATTAATCAAAAACAAAAACATTTCTGAATCTTCTGCCAGATTCAAACAAAACAAACATCTCTCAAGTTCAGACAGAAGATGAGCATGCATATTCAAAACCTTCCACTTGACTGTGCCAGAAGAAACGGAAGAAAATAAGCAAAGCCCAAATTTTGGCGCATCTCATTTTCATCACTGTAAAATATGGCTTGTTGTATTGTCACATTACTTTTTGTTGTATGTATCATCACCAAGAAGCTACTTATTGTATTCCATAGCAGGATATCTATTTGTGTCTCCTGTCAACTAAAAATATAGTCCTTTGGTCCTTTGGCTGCCGGAAAAGGGGAGGGGGGGGATCAAGGCATTCCTTAAATGCCTAGATAATCACCCTGGCAGCCCCAAACCCCTCACCTATATGCTTATGCATTAACTTCTGTTTTACCTGGAGAGACCTTCTATTTTACCTCCTATTTTCTCAAGACACCTAAGGCTCTAGCCTAGAGGTCCCCAAACTTGGCAACTTTAAGACTTGTGGACTTCAATTCCCAGCTGACTGTAGAATTCTGGGAGTTGAAGTCCACAAGTCTTAAAGATGCCAAGTTTGGAGACCTCTGCTCTAGCCTCTTGGACTATAAAAAGTGGATTATTATTCCCTGTGGAATTTGGGTGCTGATGATAAAAGGGCTGTCTTTGGTAGGTTAGGGTTTTTGCAAGGAGTTTGGAGTTTGATTTATTAGGTAATAGATAATAAATAGAACGTGTAAAAATAAAATTCCTGTTCCTATAAGAATATTTTGGTGACCCATATCAAATCTTTAAGTACATCTTCATTTCTCAGCCTGAATTTTTAAGGTGAAACCATTTATATTGACATACTTTTTCTGCTAAGTACAGATGCATGATTGCATACTAATGTGGCTATAAGAAAGAGTCCTTCATTTTAAGTCATTTACACTATACTTTTAAAACTATCATGTGTTTTATTTTTGTTTTCTGATTAGAGAAAACAAACAGAAATGGAGAAATTAAGGTTATATAAAATTGCAAAATTTTATGGAGCTACCCATCAAGATTTCATCTGAATGGCCAGTGATATAATCAGCTGACTGAATCCCAGAATTTCCAATATGTTATCTTGGTAGGATAAATAGGATCAATAAAAGAAAGTACTTCTTTGTGCAATGTATATTTAAATTTTGGGATTTGTTCCCATTAGATGAAGTGGTAAGCACTAGTTTAACCAAGTTTAAAAGGGATTGGAGAAATTAATGACAAATTTGGCTACTAGATCTTGGTGGCTGACTACATCCATTTTGATCACAGGAAACTTATCTTAAATGCTAGAGTAAAAAAGTATAAAAAGGTTGTCACCTCAGTTAATGTGTGTTTCCTTCCCATGAATACTTCTGATTGCCAGCTGTATTACACAGAATGTTCCTCAAATTTAACTTTGACCATGATAATTTTTTATCAGGTGCTATTTATATGTATCTGTTAGGTGCCAATTGAGGGGATCCTAGTTAGGATATTTACCACAAAAGAGAAAGAAAAATTATTTACAATATCTTAAATTCACCAGAGCAGCTGTTTGGGGTTTCATTAAATGATATAAAAAATCAAACACACAGAGATTATCTAAGCTTTTAGTATTGCTTGGTCCAAAATCCACCAATTCTTTTCTTATAAAGGAAAAGTAGTAACAATTGAAAGAACAACTGAACCTCATTTCTTCCATTCCTTAAACACTTGAGACAAATCTTCTATCTTAAGGAACTAATATATATCTGCTTCTTATAGTTTTATAAACCAGAAGGTATCAAGAAAAATGTCCTTTGATTAACATTGATGACTGCCGGTGATCAAGCTTGTTAAGAAAAGAGACAATTTGGAATTTTGACTCAAAAACTACTAAAGGAGCTATTTTCTTTATTTTCCTCTTCCTTTCTGCCTTCCAAATGAAGCAATTGAAGAGAAATAAATGTACTTAATATGATTCCTTAGATATCAATGGAATAAGATTCAGTAAAAATGTGGTACATTGTATTCGATATGCTTTAAGTGCTACTTGAGACACTTTTCAGCTTTAGATAATCTATATTTGAATGATTTAAAGAGTGCTTATGCCAAGTGTTTCCAGATAAAATGTACTGCTTCTTAGCAGAGATGAACATATTATGTCAGCTGTTAGTCTTTTGTTGCTCTTTTAGTTACAGGAGGAACAGAATCAAAAGAAATGAGTTTATGTTTTGCCTTTCTTTTAAATGATTATCAAATTCCAATATAATTAGGAATATATGGTAGATTGCAATAAAATATAATGAAAAAAACATTAAAAAAATTAATGGTGACAGATTTTACAAATCAGTTGATGGATAGAAGGCCTATCTAAAGATAAAATAAGGAAATCCCAAAACTGATGTTATCCTTACAAAGGTCCTTTGTTGGTTTTCAATATATGCAGAGGAAAAAGGACATATCTCAAAGATTTTAAAACCCTGGCATACGTAGTAAAGTGCAGTTCATCATACAGTTCAATTCCCAATTGTGTAGGGCTTTAAATATCATATTAGCACCTTGAGAAGTAGATCAGTAGTATTTGAAGCTATTATGCTATGAATATTACATGTCCATTATAAGGTGACTTTATTATTTGTACCACATCTATTACTGGCTTCATAAAGGCCTAGTAAAAGGTCAACAAAGAAACTATTTAAAACATCAAAAAGATTTGGTCTTATATTGTTCTGGAGCAGTAGAGTATTTGAAGGATACTCACTGTCAATTAAAGGCAATTTCAAGATACTTAAAGAGTTAGCTAAGTGGTTTTCATAAATAAATTCTTTTCTGCTGTGATTCCCATCACATTGGGATTTTCCCTTTGTAAGTTATTCTTTAACACTTGAAGGCTGGTAATGAAATATTTGTATGAAGAAAACCAAGCTGAGAATATACCAATAACTCAATAAAACCTACCCCTGAACTTCTAATTGGATTGTATTCCTTGTTCACTTTTTAATTTTAAAGGAATAAGCACTTAACTTGCTTTGGCACTGCTCATTTTCTCTAGGAATATTTAGGGTTATGATCATACTTTTAAAACAAAACTGTAGAGATATTTATTGGTGTATTAAAGTGAAAAATAGGATACCATTCCAATAAATTAATAAAGGATCCTGATAATGGAACTTATATTCACAACAGCAAGTATATGACAGCAGTGATCCTCAATTTCCTGAAAGATTCAGATTCCTCAGAAAACTGTTAGTCTCTTTTTCTTTTTACTCTAAGACAGGGGTGTCAAACTCACATGTCCTGGGGACTTTTCCCCCATTGCTAAACTGGGCATGGGCATGGTATGACAGTCCTGCTCTTATATATATATTAGCTTGCAAAAGTAGTCTGTTGCTAACCACGCCCAGTTTAGCATTTTTCTGAGGAATCTGAATATAATTAATCAAACTAGGATTTATGATAGTAGGAAGCTTGGTGTGAAACCTGAAAAGTGTGTACAGTAAGTATGCAGCTGTAGAGGGAATAGGGAATGGACTTCAAGGACAGGGGGAAGATCTACTAGCAATTCAGACATCAGAGAAGTGCAGCTTGCCCATTCCAAGAAACTAATTTGAGTAAATGTCTCAGAGCTCCGTAATTCACACAAAGATAAGTGAGGGAGATGGAAGCATATTTAGACTTGCAAGATTTTGTTGTTGTACAGCACAGTAACTGAGTAGTAGTTCTGGTTCTATGTGGCATTGGTTTCTTTGTCTGATCTATCTTAGAGGGTTAAGTATATTGTAGTGGGTAGTACATAAGGCTATAAATAGTACCTTATAGAGCTAAGTGCTTTGTAGAAGGTAGTTGCAAGAATGTAAAAATGTAGCAGTAGTGGCACTACTCCATCAACGAAACATCTGTAATTGTCAGAAATGTTGAGGCAGCTACGCTCCCCAACAACCAGATAGCATTTTGAATTGTTAAAAAATAAAATAGTTATTTGGTCAGTTCATATTTAAAGCAAAATATTATTCCTAAAATTCTTCAAATTTACTTGCCTTCGGGACCATCCTTAATTAATTTTAATGAATGTCTTCACTAATATGAGAAAATAATATTCAACTAAGATGAAATCAGAATTAAAATGTAAAAATGATATCCATTCTAATGCATTAAATACAAGTAGGCTACAAATAATTTACATCATATATTTTGATTATACTGTCACTGAGGCTTACAGTGAGCAAAATATGTTGCAGGAAGCAGTTAATGATACTGTCTTTTTAATGATTTGCTATTTTTACAAAATGAAATGAAATGGCCAATTATCACAATTTGTCTCACTGTTGTGATAAATAATTTTTCTTTAATTCCAGTCACACTTAATTAATGTATGAAAAGTAATAGGCTTTATATAGGCACAAGCTTCTCAAGTGAATTATACCTATTGAATTGTTAATTCACAGAAATAGCAACAAAATATTGTGAAAAGACAGGAACATGGTTTCGGCATCCAGAAACCAATCGAACTTGGTCCAACTACACACGCTGCAATTCTTTTACAAATGAAAAGCGTAAGGTAAGTTGTTTAGATTGTAGGAGAGTTTCTAATAATGCCTAACTTTTATCCATCTGGGTTTATTTTCATTTTAATCATGGATGCAATCTAGAGAGATTTGTCTGCATTTCAGCCATGTTCAGTTATGTTACAGGAAATCAATGCCCAACTCATAGGTTTTATACAAAAACTCCCAATGTAAAAACCAAAGAGCTATAGTTCTGTATTCTGGATGGCTATTGTTTAAAATTGAATGAATCTACATATTATGAATTGTAGGTTCTCAGGACCATTTTTCTCATTTTTTTTCTCCATTATTATCACCGATAGCAAGGAAAGCAGTTTTGCCGAGATGCTGACCCCATTTGGGTAGAGAAATGAACAAACTTTTCATCTGTACTCTTCCCCCCCTCAAAAATTAATAAAATGTCAAAATTCCACTGGCCTTCATTAAAGTTAGGTATATTGACTTGGCTTTAATGAAGAAGAAAAATGTGGCCTTATAATCCATGTGAGATTTTAAAGACTGGTGAAAATTCCCTTTACATTGCTGACAGGTACAGTTGAATGATGCCTGATTTTCATCTCAATTAGAAAGGGGTATCTGAAAGCCCCTTGAGAAGAGAGAAGTAAATGTTCATTGAAATTTGCAAAGAATGGAATGCATAAAATTTGTATATGTTATGAAAATGGGTGGGTTTATTTTTCATCTTTCCTTGTATTATTTTTAAGGTGACCTGGATTTGAATTTCTATTTTTTTTAATATTGTGCCTAACCCTTTGCATGTGGCGTATAGACTGAACCATGCCTTACTTATCACATTGTAATCTGTGGAAAGTCTAATTAGGTTTATATAAGATACTCTGTAAAATCCTCAGGACACTCTATGACCTTTCGTTATGAGAGTAATTCTCAAGGTTTTATGTAAATCTTTATGGAGTTGACTTTTATATGGCCAATTACAGAAGTTTGTCATAATATCTATTAAGAAGATAGTTCATGAGGGAAAATCTTACTGTAATTAACCCAAATGCAGGAAAAAAAATAAAGGAGATATAATGTACAGCAGAACACAGATTACTTTGATATGGTTGTGAACAGATGGACTATGTTTGGGCAGCTCATAATAGCTCTAGGAACAGAGCTTATAAAATCAAGGAATCAAATAGAACAGACCATTTAATTAAGAAAATCTATGGTAGTCAAATGAACAAAGGACATTAATTATATAGCTATGTGAATATACATATGCATATATAAAGTAGTACTATTTATAATGTGTAGTTTGTAAATGTGAACACAATTTAAATCATTTTTAGTTCCATATATCTAAAATGAAGTAAAATGTATTCCAAAATTCTGGGCTCATTATTACTGCTATTTGTATCTTAGGATAATTTTTAAACTATCTCTAAACTATCTTCATTTTTTATTTAATTTTTCTTTTAAATTTCAGATGGTTTTCATAGTTTACTACATGACTATAGTAGGACATATATTATCTATGGTTTCCCTGTTGATTTCCTTGGGAATTTTCTTCCATTTCAAGTGAGTATATCCTTCAACTATTTATTTATTTTTCTTACTGTAGTATGCGCAAGGGTTATAGAAATATTTATTTGACTCATATAGTTCAGTTATTTCCTTACTGGTCACATTGGCTTACAAGTAATTTTTATCTATGTGCTATGTGTGCCAATTCTCTATAACAGAAGTACCACATCTTGGAGTTGTATGCACTTGTTTAAGACATAATGCAGATTCTAAGTGTTCCTCTGTAACTAAAGAGTGTGTGTACAAAAATAGAATACAAAGAACGATTTGACACAATCAAATGTGGCAAACATTAAGTTAGGGCCTCACGTAACATTTGGGAAAAGTTGATTATTGTAAATGAAGTGGTTGTATATCATCCCTAAAGGAAGAGATGGAGTTTGGGGTTGATTTAGGATTCTTCTCTATTTTTGATATATAGCATGTGTGATTTAGGATTGATTGGACAGGTTTTATGTGTTTTCCACCTGCCAATGGTGTGACACTGTTTTCAGTAGTGTGTAATCATAGTTGTAGGAAATTCCAAAGATCACCCAACTGGGCTTTACACTTTTATATTCTTCCCATTGAGCTCATTTTCATACATAAAATGAACATGAACTCAGTGGGAAGAATTTCTATATGTATAAAGAAAATTCAAAGGTTAAAAGAGATTGATAACATTTTCACATTGCTGGAGCTACTATACAGTATCACCATAGCATATATATCTCCTCAAATTATCTAAAACTCATGAGACATTACTCAAATGGCAAGATCTGACATTATTTTAACAGATCACCAACATACTATGCAAGATTATCAAATGCTTGCAGGATTACTGAATCCATGCATGATGATATTTCAATGATACTGCAATTTTGGGGTGGAGGAGATAGTTGATGATCTGATAAAGTTCTCTTACAAAGAGGAATTGTGTTACTGGTTATTATCAGAGTGGAAGGAACCACTCTGTGTGATTCTACTCAATATTGCTGTTATTTTTATTCTATTATTAGCAAGCAAGAATAGTTTCCAAATTTTGTGGGACCCCAATTATTTAAATTAACTATAAAGAAGTCTAGAAAGAACTAGCCATGTTAAGTACATGTACAACTTAGTGGCTTATGAAATTCTATATATAGTTATATAATCTTTATTCAGTAAAGGGGAAAGTTATTTACTATTCACACTACTATTGACTGTTTCAAAATTGTTCAGTAGGCTTAGTGATTTACTTGTGAATAATTCTAGAGGAAAAAAAATGGCATAGTAATTTTTTTGATTCAGTTGACTGTAATAAAGCAAGAAGAATGTCTTAGAATTGTGGGAACCAAGAAGAAATCACAACCATGCAAGGAATGAAATTAAATATCCCTAACATCAGAAAAATTCCAGTTCAAACTTTCTTACTCAGTTGATAACTCATTCTGAAAGCAATGTGTAATTTTAATATAATGCTCCAAAGAATCTATGTATGTGGATTGTTTTTATTAATTTATTAAATAAAATATATAAAATATATTAAACATATATCTTACTATCAAATTAATTTTGTGAATTTTTCTGCCACTTGATCATATACATGTGAAGTTCTCTAACTGTGATTGAGAAAGCATGTAGCATATAAGCAGTTGTAAGAGGGATTTTTCCCATGGATTCACTGCCAACTGTATTTTTTTCTGACTGCCTGTGTCAGATTGCATATTTAAGAAAGAATTGCCAACATGTTCTTGTTATAAAAGCAACCTCAGAATCAGCTCTAATAATTTCTAATTTGTACTATATTTGTGGTGCATGTTTTTCAGAAGCCTCAGCTGTCAAAGGATAACATTGCATAAGAATCTCTTTTGTTCATATGTTCTTAACTCTGTGTTTACACTTGCCCACCTCATTGCAGTAGTGCCTGATCGAGAGCTGGTCAAAAAAGATCCAGTAAGTATTTTGTTATGCTTCACACTGAATAACTGAACTTAAAACATTGAGAGTTGAAAGACCTTCCTGCCTTATTGCCACAGGATGTAAAAAAAAGTTGTCACCTATTTTGACAATGCAGTGTTGGAAGAATATTTTTAAAAAGTGTCAAATCAAATTTATTTCATCCCAATTAAATCCTGATACTGCCTAGAAATTTTAAACTTTATAAATAGTAGACCAGAAATTTTGGCTTAGTAAACCATATTGTGGATGTGTATGAAATCAATATTCCTACATCACTCTTTGCTTATATTTATGTTAAATCCATGTTCAGAATTATGATTTATTACCCTCCATATCTAGTTCAGAACTGATTTTAATTTGTTGACCAGTTTGAACACAATATGTCATAATCTTGAATTTGGGCACAACAAAGCTATTTCCTTCCTCCTTTGCGTAATTGGTCACAGGAGAAATGAGGACTAGCATGAAGCAACCTGCTGGAAGATTGCTTATTAAGCCAGGATTCTTGGCTTGAAATTATATTTAAGCACAGCTTTATGATGGAATGTGTTTCCACTCCATTATGATGAAAAGATAATTGGCTTCAAGATACATTGCACTGGAAAAATCAGAATCTTGTAGATAAAATAAATAATGGCTTCTTCCACTAATTCTGAATTTCTTTACTATTTTTCATTGCTCTTATATTATACTTGTGTGGATCTTCATCCAAGTCTCAAAGTAATCCACACAAGTATAATATAAGAGCAATCAAAAATAGTAAAGAGATTCAGAATTAGTAGAAGAAGCCATTATTTATTTTATCTACAAGATTCTGATTAAGAAGCCAAAATTTAAAAAAACAACTGTTTGGTATAATTGTGAACATAGTGAAATAGCTGTCTCAATTACCATTTGACTGTTCAGTTACTTGAAGCTTTTGTGAGAAAATAGCATCAATAGATCAAATACTAGATTTGGAACTTTATAATCTGCCATATGATATTAAATGTGGTAAAGAAACCATAACTAGATGTAGAGAGCACTCTAGCATTCTCATGGATGTAAGTTCAAATCTTAGCATGTTTAGTTAAAAGTTGTTGGTAATATATAATATGAAATGCCTATTTGATGTCTGGAGAGATGCCAAATTGACTGTTTTTTGACCTGAGAACTAACTAGTTCTTAAACTCAAACTAGAAAGTCAATTCTAGTCAGGAATATACAGTATCTACTTTCAGCCATAAAAGCTTACTACATAATTTCAAATGACTCATTAGTCTCAGCCCATCCTTATTGTTTTCAAGATGGATGCTGCAGGAATAATTTTGATGGGTTATTGGGGATGCCGCTGGAAAGAGGATCTGATAAATAAATCACTATCTGATTTATCTGATAAATATCTCTACTCTGGAATCAGACTACCTGACTGTATCAGCAGCTTGTTGTCCTCCGCTTTCAGGAGGTCAAAGGGACCAAAGCTGGAAGACTGTTGTTTTGTAATTGGCTGCTTTCTAGAATATAAATCTCTGCGGGATTTATATTGGCCCCACGCCAGTTGCCTTCCAGAAGCCCTAAATATGGAGCTTTTCCAGAGGACATTTGGAAATTGACACTGGATACTATTTTAGACTGGGGGGGGGGGTCTGTTTTTTATTACATGTAGTCCTCAGTTTGCAATCACAATTACATACCAGATCTGATTTTACAACCATTTTTACCACAGTCATTAAACAAATTTGGCTTTCCCAATTGACTTTGCTTGAGGCCAGCTGGGAAGATTGTACATCACAATGACATGATTGTGAGTACTGTAGCCATTGTAAATGTAAGCTAGTTGCAGGTGTCCAAATTGCAGTCATATGGCCATTGGAGTGGTATGACAGATTGTAACTCAAGGGCATCATAACTTTGGACCATCGTCAAATGAACAGTTGTAAATTGAGGATTACTTGCACTAGGCATTGTTTGTTTCATATTATGACCAGTCAAGAGTCTATTTATAATTGGGGTGAGATATGAATTCAGTCAGCTTTCTACAGCTCCTAAAGAAAAAGCAGGAAATAAATTTAAGAAGTAAATATACTCTGCCAGATCTTCTTGTTAAAAAAATTTATGCCATTATGTACAACTCTCTTCTTTTCAGTCAATCTTTAAAGAAAGCAGCATGGAAAAGGTGATTAATGTATTTATACTTACATGGAAATTTATGATAGAAATTAAATGTAAACATTCATAATAAATGGAGGTTAATTAGTAACTTATTATAATTCAAGTCAGTATATAAAAATCTGAGAATGATTGCCAAATCAGAAAGACATAAAGAAGAGCCACTGTATGATTTATGGAGCAAAAGGGAAAAAATGACTTTTGTATTATAGTCATTAATAACAAAAATACACACCAAAACTTTTTGCTCCAAAGAAAAGCATTCACACTTTTCCAAGAAAATTCAGGGTTAATTTTTTATTGTTTTGTTTTATTTTTCTTGATATTCACAAGTGTCATTATGAGTGTATGCATAATCATATAAAGTAGAATTGCATATAGATCTGTCTCTAGTTTGTATTATTGAACAGATTTGGATTATCTATCTTTTTTCATCACTAAAACTGAAGAGTCATCACTGAATATCCTAGATACGTTTGTAGTTTCTTTTTTTATATATATATATTTATTTTAAGACAAACATACACAGACAATACATAAAAAACAAAACCATCTTCCATTTTGTACATAACAGTGTGTCAGTTGGTTTAGAATCTTTTGTGCAATCCTTTCATAATCATTGTTCACAATTTATATCAATGTCACATTGTCAAACTAACATATGCTTGTCTATTTATCAATTATTAATTATCCTGCTATTTATTCCATCAATATTGTATTATGCTGTCATCCAATGGTTATATATGTCTACATTATATTTCTATATATCAATAATATCAATCTATTAAGCTTTTATAACAAGATTATCTATTCTATTACCGTACCATGTTTTTTATCCAACCATTGATAAAACAAATCCCATATCATATAAAATTGCTTGTCTTCTTGTTCTCTAATTTCAAATGTCAGTTTACTCATTTCAGCACAGTCCATAATTTTTTAAATAACTTCCTCCTGCATCGGTATTTTGTAATTTTTCCAGTTCTTCGCAAATACAATTCTAGCCGCTGTTAAAACATTTACAATCAAATATTTCAATTCTTTATTGTATGTGTCCGGTATGACTCCCAATAAAAAGACCTCTGGTTTAAAGTCTATATGTTGTTTTATCATTTTTTCCAACCATGTGTGGATTTTAGTCCAATATTTCTTTGCGTCAGAACATACAGTAATATGAACCAGGTATCTGATGACATTTCCAGCATTTATCCGATTTATTCTTAAACATTCTCGCAAGTCTCGTTGGGGGTAGGTGCCACTGTAAAACATCTTATATAAATTTTCTTTATATGCAGTTGACACTGTCATTTTATAATTTTGAGACCACAATTTTTGCCATTTTTCTAAATCAATCCCATATCCAAAAATTTTCCCCCAAGCAATCATAATTTCAACTTGTTCCTCCTCCAATTTAAATTCTAATAGATGTCCATAAAGTTTTTTAATTACCTTTTCATCAGTAGCCATCAAAATTTTATCTAAATCAGTTAACTTATCATAAATATCTTCTGCTTTAGAGTCTTTATCAAACCTACATTGCAAATATGAAAACAAATTTATTTTTACACCTTGTTCTTCCAATGCTTGCATAGATTTAAGTTCACCCTTTTCATTCAATATCTCACCATATCTAACTGTTTGTTCCTTTTTATATATTATTGGATAAGAAAAAGCTTCAATAGTTGATATCCATGTTGGAATTTTTAAGTAATATTGTCTTTTTATCTTCTCCCAATTCAAAAACAATGCCTCTCGAATATAATGTCTTCTAAAATACCCCCGTGTTTTAGTTCCTTTATACCAGGGAAAGGCATGCCATCCCAACAGCAAGTCATGGTCTTCTAAAGTCAATAATCTACTGTTCCTTAGTGTTATCCATTCCTTTACCCTCATCAAACTTGTCGCCTGGTAATATAGCTCCCAATTGAGCAAGGCAAACCCTCCTCTTATTCTTGCATCTTGTAACAGTTTTAATTTTATTCTTGCTTTTTTACCCCGCCAAATATATTTCAACACAATTCTATTTAAATCTTCAAAAAACTCTTTCCCTAGTCAAATAGGAATTGTCTGGAATAAATATAAAACTCATCTTAATATAAATTCATCTTAATTGTGGATATTCTCCCAATCAATGATAGTTGCAGTTTTTCCCATTTTATCAAATCTATTGCAATCTGCTGTTTGAGTTTAACATAGTTATCTTCCTTTAGTGTACTACATCTTGGTGTAATATGTATCCCTAAATATTTCAGCTTGTTCATGACCTGTATTTTTAAAATATCTTCCAACTCTTTCTTACATCTTGCTAACATATTCTTTGTTAATATCTTTGTTTTGTCTTTATTTCTTCTCAAACCTGCTACTTTTCCATATTCTTCTATTTTTTCTGTTAATTTGGGTACTGTTTCCAATGGGTCTTCTAATATAAATACCAGGTCATCTGCAAAAGCTTGCAATTTATACTCCTCCTTTTTAATTTTCATTCTTTTTATTTCTTTTTCTTCTTTGATATTCCTGTTCAACACTTCCAATGTTAACACAAACAGCAGAGGAGACAATGGACAGCATTGCCTTGTCCGTTTTCTTATATTTATGGATTCTGTTAATTCTCCATTCACCATCACCTTTGCCGTTTGTTCATGGTATATTGTTTCAATGGCTTGGATAAATTTTTTACCAAAGCCCATTTGTATCAATTGCAGTAAAATAAATCGCCAACTGACATTGTCAAAGGCTTTTTGTGCATCTAGAAACATCAAGGCCATTTGCTTCTCAGGGTGTGCTTCATAATATTCCAGAGTATCCAAAATAATTCTCACATTGTCTTTGATTTGTCTCTTTGGCAG